CACGTGATATGAAGCAGCTTCATTGTTAGTTGAAATGTAGGAACCCAAGTTTTATTAAGACTCCTTAGTTGAACATTTTCCCTTTTAAATGTCAAAAGTACTTGAGCATCATGCTCACAAGCTTATCGGATAACAATCATTTCTTCTCTTAGTATTCTTACAACATTAGAGAGATCAATTTGATCCTCTATAGTAACAGGTCCTAACTCCTATTCAGGTTGTGCAAAATTCATTTTCTTTCTTATAGTCATTATCCTTTAGAAAGTCCTCTTCCTACAAAAGAAACATAAACAAGGGTCTTCAAATTAGTCCCATGGTGGGTGCCAAAATGTACTTATACAAGGATACATAGGTAATTTTATCATTTAAAGTCCTCATCCAATAAGTCATTATCCTCATAGTCTTCATCCTCAGGACTTTCTTAGTCTTCGATTGGCACTTACCCAAAAAGTCTACTATACACTTTGTTTACCTTTGATAATGAATGAGTAGTCTTCGACTGTAACAAAATGTACCTACACAAGGACATATAGGTAATTTTATCACTTCAATTCCTTGTCCTTATAGTCTTCGTCCTTAGCACTCTCTTAGTCTTCGGTTGCATTTACCTGAAGAGTCTAAAATACACTTTATTTACCTTTGATAATGAAATGAGTAGTCTTCGGTTGTACCAAAATGCACCTACATAAGGATATATAATTAATTTTATCACTTCAATTCCTCGTCCTTAGCACTCTCTTAGTCTTCGGTGGCACTTACTCGAAGAGTTTAAAATACACTCTATTTACCTTTGATAATGAAATGAGTAGCCTTCGATTATATCAAAATGTACCTCCTCAAGCAATTTCATGATTCAAGTTTTCAATGAGCAGTGTTTTATAATCTGGAAATCTACATTGTTGCACAAGTGGCTGTACATTGTGACTTTAATTGTGTGCTTCAATTTTATTCAAGTGAAAGTGTAACAAGTCTGAAGTTGTTGATGCCTAGGGCACTTAACCCAACCATGTGAGTGAGAGGGCCAAACAGTTAAAATTTATCATTGAGAGTCATCACTGATTCATGCGGTCAGTTTTGTTTGAGTCTCCCATGAGTTGTAGTTAAGCTATGCTTGGAATGTACTAAGGCAGTTGTTTTACTTAGCCAGGAACCAAATAGCCAACCCAAGAATTACATTGACCATTGATCAGCAAATTGGACCCTAAACAGAACCCTAAGCTTAAAAAGAAAAACCATGATTGTCCCTAGCCTTGTTGGTAAGAGACATTCTCATGAAACAAGTGGGTTTTGAACCAAGTTGGGGGTAGCTTGTATGAAGAGATCATGTGGTTGGAGCTGAATGGTAAAGGCAAAGTATGTTCCTGTGTATATACCATCAAAAATAAATAAATTTTCTATGTTTAAAGTTAATTTTATAATCAAGGTTCTTTGTCATCAGTTCATCAATTTGTGTATAGTCTGAAAGAAAAGGAACCAGTAAATTCAATCAAAAAGAGGGATGAAACATAGGCGCGTGATGGGCGGCGCGGGGTGCTCCCCCGATTGGCGGGTGCAGTTCTACGTGTCGCCGTACGCCCGCACGCGATCGACGCTCCGCGAGGTGGGAGCGTGCTTGTCGAAGAAGAGAGTGATCGGCGTTCGGGAAGAGTCGCGGATTCGGGAACAGGACTTTGGGAACTTTCAGGTGGAAGAGAGGATGAAGGTGATCAAATATTTGACTAAAAATAAATTTTAAACAAAATTAAATTTTTTATTCTTTATTTAAGATAAATGGATAAAAATTAGAAGAATATAATATTATAGTGTTATTTGATTTTAATAGAAAGATAGAAATATTTGATAATGTATTTATTATAAAATTATCAATTTATCTTTCTAATCTGAATTATATCATGTTTAAATACTTATTTTCACTCTTTTCTTCCTATTTCTTATATATTTCAGCTTAACCAAACAAAGTATAAGGGAAGATTTTGTTTACTTTTTTGAACCATAAGAATTATAATAAGAGTTAATCATCTATACATTGTCAATGTAAAATTTTTTACACTGATAATTAATCATATTTTTTTACAATTATTTTTTTATTTTTATTTAATTAAATAAGTAAATGATATGGCACTATTAAAAAATATGATTGGTTGTCAATGTAAAAAAACTTTATACTGACAGTGTATAGATAATTAACTCTTATAATTAATAATGACAATAGAATTCAAATTTAAGTTTTGCATATTATCTCAACTCTCACTATTAGGTCAATCCTAATAGTTTAGAGACGATTCATATTACGTGCAAATGTTTTCATACACAACCAGCTTCATAAACCTTTTTAAAGTGTTTTTGAATATTCTAGTCTTTACAAATATCAAATAGATAAAATTTAATGCTTGTTAAATCGAATTAGGTTTTATACAAGATTTCTAATATGTAATTATATGAATTAGGTTTTACAGCATATTTTTAATATGTAATTGTATATGGCCGTAACAAGTGTTTTAACGTACTCTCAATTAAGGATAGCAACGAAGCAAAGTGGTATGAATTTCAATATTCTCGTCCCATCTTCATTCCTATACATTATATTCATCATTGTCTCCATACTTAATGGGTATGAGATTTGTGTCATATCTCCATATCTGTCGAATATCGAGTATATTCGTATCAGTTAATAAATTAATTAATTTTTTTTTGTAAAAAATACTAAAAAAATGTAAAGGATTTCAATATAGAGGAACAATTATAAAATTGTATTAATTAAGTTTCATTTGACATAAATTTAAAATTTGAAATAAAATAAGAATTACATAAATGTTAAGTAAATTCTAAAAATAAATAAATTAAATTTCTTGAAATTTAAAGCAAGTAAATATATATCCAGCACGTCATCGTACCTGATTTAATAAATTAAACATTATTTATATTTATACTCATTAATGATCAAATAGAATATTTCTCATCAAAATTAGGACGAGCATTACCCATAAGTATAAATTTAATTGTTATCCCTATTGTCAACAGAATTAGAAATGAAAAATTAAAAAGTTACTTATAAAAAGCATAACATCTAATATTGAAATTTGAAATCAACTTTGTTATTGACTCTTTTTATCACAATTATTTAGTCCATACTTTTACTACTATTATTATTTTCTTTCAATATTGTCCTTTATTATTGTTGAAATTACTAGCATTATCATGTTAACAAATAAATATTATCTACATTATAAAGAAGAAATTATTTATGGTATTAAATTTAATAAAAATTGCAAATTAAATTAATTTTAAATTTTTAAAATTTCTAAACTAAAAGCTTTAACGTTCTATTATGATTAGGATGGCAAATGAATCCATACTCGTGAGTAATACCTGAACTCGTCCCGACTTTGACGAGGAATACCCGACTTGACCGGGTACGGATAAAACTCGATATATTAAATCTAAGTTAATTTCAACTTACACTAGCACAAAAATGTGATATGACATTTGTTTTTAACATTAGTTATTATCCAGTTTTTAAACATAAAATCGTGATAGTCTAACGAATATTAAAATATATAATACTTTATATATACAGTAATCCTAATAATATTAATAAACTTACAATCGAGATACTTGTCAATAATTTAGGTTTAATATGAGTAATTAATTATTAGTAATTTTGTTAATCTAGTCTAAATTAAAAATTCAAAAGTGAATTATTTATTAATAATTTTTTGGATTATGTCCTAATTAGACATTTGAAAAACATTTGACTTCAAAGATTTTTGTAATTATAGCATCATAGTTGACAGAAAGTTTACAACCTTGTTACCAAAAACAAAAAATATAAAAGATAGGACTAATTTAACTTAATTTATTAATATAATATATCAATTTTAATATTACATATAATTTAAGACACGGTTACTTAAAAAATTAATAAAATTAATGACATACAACAACATATTTTTATAATATATATAGAAATAAATAATATCGATATAAATATAATATTTTGCTATATAAACATAATGAAAAATAAAAAAGTACTACTTAAATAATATACACCTGATTTTGTGTCGAAATTCTATTGTTATGATTCTTATGAATGTCATTTTTACAAATTAAAAAAAAATGCTATTGAATGTTTAGTATGAAATTAATTGTACTTCCCCAATTATTTTTTAGTACTATGTGGGCTTCGTAGCCCAAATTTAACCTTTTTGACTTGTGTCTTTTTAAATCTCACAAAATTAAGCTGAGATCCATTATCAAAAACGAAGGTCCAACGAACCAAGCAAATCTTTGAATTCATTAATTGATAACCCATTAAAAATCCATCAATGTTACCAACTCCAACTCCTATGATTCCTCAGCACCAAAGTTCCTTCCAATTCCCAAAACTGTGATACACAGAACGCATTATTTTCACCACAATTACTTAATCAATTGATTGGTCGATAATCATTGTAATTAACTTCTGTATTGATTAATTTGATACTCCATACTCCGTGTAATCCATAGATTTGCGTACTAATAATTATTTAATTACTAACAAAAATGTGATTTAATTCTATGAGAAACTCATCTCGACTAATTTACAAGTATGATTGCTGAAAAGATAAATAAAAATTAGTGTAAACCTTGGTTTAAGGGTTTCGAATTTTGCCTTATGTATGTAGTCGCGTTAAATCTTGGGGTCAGATATCTCATTCTTTGAGATGCCTCAAACGTAGCAAGGAGATTAGTCACTGCTATCAACGATAGATATTCCTGGGACGAAAAAAAAAAAAGGTTTTAAAAAAATTATTTAAAATTAATTTATATAATTTGGCAGTGTGAGGAAACAGAAATAGAAATAGAGAATGTAAAGAGATATGAAATGGGCCCCAAAATTTGAATTCCAAAAGACAGCACCCACCAACACACACACACACACTATCCTTCTACCTCCATTATGTGGTCTATATATATCCTTCATAACATCATGAGATTCAAAAACCCTAGAAAATTCAAATATGGCCAAAAAGAAAGTGACCCACCAATCTCAAGCCCAAAACCTCAAACACTCACCCATGGCCTCCGACGACTCTGTGTCAATGCAGTTTCAGAATCTCAAAAACCTCAACGCCGTCCTTCTCAAAGAAACCACACACCACCGCCAGCAGATTGACTCTCTTAACTCCGCCCTCTACTGCTCCGCCGTCGCCTCCGACGTCGTTTCCGCCTTCTTCCAGAGCCACGCCAGGGAACTCACCCTCCGCCTCCATGCTCTTCTCGCCGATAACCAATCGCAGATTGCGCGTCTCCGAAGCGAGACCAAGCTCTTGGAGGAGAATGCCGTTAGAGAGAGCAACCTTCGCCTCGAGGCTCAGGAGTTGCTGTCTCAGACACAGAGAGCCGTTGAGGAACTCAACCGTCAGAGAGACTCGGCGCTCGATAGTTCTCGCGAGGCGGTTGCGGTTATCGAAACGTTGAAGCGGGAGATTGATGATGTCACCAGGGAGAGAAACGAGATCCGAAGCGTGAACCAAGGTTACGAGAAGGAGCTCGCTGCTCTGACGCATTTGAACGAGTGTTTGAAGAAGGAGGAGGTGTTCGCGCGTCAGAAGATTCTTCAAGTGGAGGAGAATCTCGGCCTTGCGCTGCAGAAGGAAGAGGAGATGGCGCTGGAGATTGGTGTTTTGCTGAAGGAGAAGAAGGAGATGGAGAACACTGTTGAGGTGTTGACTCAGCAAAACTGTGGCGTTTTGAAGGATCTAGATGAGGTTCAGAGAGAGTTGATGGAGAAGAAGCACGAGCTTGATGAGGCGATTAGACTGAGCGATGAAATGGAGCAGGTGAAGGTTAATTGCGAGAGTGAAATCGTTGAGTTGCGACGATTGGTGGATGAGTCTAGGGCGTCTTGTAAGAAGTTTGAAGAAGTGAACGAGCAATTGCTTTCGGAAGTTAAGCGTTATAGAGACGCTGTGGATGAAGCTGTTCTTGAGAAGGAGAACATGAAGAAGGTGTTTGAAGAGGAGAATGAGAAGCTGCTGTTGGAAGTTAAGCGTTGTGGAAATGCTGTTGATGAAGCTGTGTGTGAGAAGGAAAGCATCGAAAGGGTGCTTGATGAGGAGAGGAAGAAAGTGGAGAAGTTGAAGTTGGTGGTTGCAGAAACCAAGGAATCGAGTGTGAAAATCGATGCTGAGTTGGGTAAGGTGAAAAGTGAAAGAGACAAGCTTGTTGAAAAGGAGAAGATGCTCGAAGGCAATGTGAATGTGTTGAGGGAGAAGAATGAAGCATTGCAGAGTAAGCTTGAAGATGCACTGACATTGTTGAAGACTACTGCTGCCACCCTTGTGTGTCAAGTCAAGGACAGAGGGGAGGAAGCCATGTCTGATGAGAATGTTGTTGAAGAAATGGACCCTTATGTACAAGAACTTGATGCAATAAAGAAGGCATTCAAAAGCAAGGATAAGACTGTGGATGATATGAAGAAGCAACTTGTGTCACTGAACCAGTCTGTGGTACGTGCACAAAAGAGTAAGAATTTGTGGACTGTAATATCCTCTGCAACTACCCTTTTTGTTGCTGTGTTAACTGCTTATGTTGCTAGAGGTCGCTGAATGTTTGTCCATTTTAGATGGATAAGAGAATCAAGATACGTTTTTTATATTATGAACTAGCTGAGATATGCATATCTTGATCTATGTTAGAGAATAACTTTTTGATGTGGATTGAGCTAAAAACTTCATCGTATAATGAATACTATGTTGTTTGGTGTTAATATTTGTTTTCTGTGTTTTTTAGTTCATTGCCATTGCAAACAAACAGGGAAGAGTTATAGTTTCTGTAATGATAATTTTATAATTTTCGTTGAAGACAAAGACAGTGATCAACAATTATCAGTAACCATAAAATTATTGATTGGGTGGGTATGGCTTTATTTTTTTGTTATATGTTCTTTATAGTCGTGTCGCTAAAACTGCATGGAGGCAATTTTATGTCCATTCAACGTTCAAGTGACAAAAGTGGGGAGTTGGTGTATAATCAGAACTTTGTTGTAGCAAAATTTGACATGATGTTATTATGGGAGACTTTTTTCACGTTACTTTTTTGTAACATCCCTTTTATCGCATGGTACTTGAATTGAGAGACCCCTCCATGAACAGATAATTTTCGTTAGCTATGTACTTGAAAATTATAACTTTTAATTCAACACTTTTTTCTTACTTTTTAATTAAAATTTAACAAGATATTTTCAAATTATTAAGTGTATTTTGATGATATTTTATATCAATGTTATTAGCTTTTTTTTTTCTTTTCCAATCTTTATAGAATCTTAAAATAATTAATTTTTAAAATCTTTCGTTTAAGATACATCTATTTCTTTAACAAGAGGAATGCGAGGAGTATACTTTTTAACACTTTAATTAGTTGAAATTTTAAAAAAATTTGCTGGATCTCACACTTTATTTAAATAGTTTTCTCTCATAATTGTGATTTTTAATAAATTATAATTAATAAAGTTGAAATATATTGAAAAACTATAAAATTTGGTGAATCTTATATTTTATTTAATAACTTTTTGATTTTGTAATTTTTAATAAATTATAATCAATAAAAAAATGTATTAAGAAAAATGAGTTAAAAGGTACATTGGTGAACCATGTTTATTAAACAAAAAATAACAATTTACAAATCGATCACGTTTCACAAGAGCAGACATATACTATTCAGCTAATTAACATAATCAATTGACTCCTAATATAACCATACAACTATTTGTTATTTTATTTTTCAATTGAAATAATTATCGCATTGCCTTTCATAATGAATTGAAATTTGAAATAATTATGAGAAAACTAAATGTAATCTAAACTTAGGGTTTTCACGAGTTTACACAATGATAGTTAAGTTATCTACATCCGTGCCCTGTTATCAAATTCATTGTTCCTCTGCACTTTGATTCTTGATTTTATACGTTGAATTCAAAATTGGATTCTTGGTTCAGGTTGAGTAAATTCAATTCATTACATGGTTGGATGGGGTAAAATCACATCGAGTTCAGTCAAGTTTAATTTAACTTCAATTTAAGATCTTTGTTTATTAAATTGAGGCATTTTGAATAAATTATGGTGAAGTTAAAGCTATAAAGAGTTGTTTCTTTTTCATTTAAAGTCAATTTTGGTTTTTTTTTTTTTAATTTATCCTCACCCATGTACACGAGTTGTGGTTCTATTTTAAAAGTTGAAATATTATATATATATATATATATATATATATATAGTTAATATGTATAAAAAAAAAATAGATTTCGTAATTGATAAATAAAATAAAATAAAAACATACACTGATATTAAAACTCATTTCGCTAATTACACACAAAAATAATTTTAATTCAAAACATCCAAACAATAATTTATTAAAAATTTAATTATCTAATATTGGTTATCAAAATAAATTATATTACTTTAAAATTAATAATTTAATTCCTGAAATAAAGTGAAAGATATAAGATGTTGTTCAAGGAGATAAATATATTGTTTTATAGACTCAAAAGTGAGTTTGATATAAGCAATTATACAAGATGTTAGAGCTTCTCATGCATTTATATTTTATCTTGAGGAAATATATAATAATATAACATGTTATATGAGACTAACTTTCGTGACATGAACGAGATAACATGTTATAATATCAACTATTTGGTTTATACGTATCTTGATCGTTGTTAAAGCATAGCCTTTTAATTTGTATTTTGCTAACAACTTGAGGATATATGTTTTGAACATATCATATAATGAATATAATGTTGTTTGGGGCTAATGTGTTTTTTATTTTTTTGAGATCATTGAAGTCGTTAACAAGTTGCAAGGAATGGTATTGAATGGATGACGTAGCCTTTTTATTATTATTATTATGGTATAAGTTTTCTTATATTATTTTTTTTTGTTGTCTCTAAAACTTTTCAACTTTCGAGTGATAACCGTCGAAATGGGTACATAAATTGGAAGCTCATGTGAATTAGAACTTGTGGTATATTAAAATTGGACAAAATTTATTGATTTTTTTTAAAAAGGTGTAATCGACATTATTTTCTAATTAAAATTAGAATTTTATATTAATAATATATGTAAAATGTATATTAATATAATATATAATAAATACAAGTACATATTATCAAAATAAAATCCTAATTCTAACTTAGAGAATAATACCGAATGCACTTAAGAAATTATACATAAATTTTGTCTATTAAAATTTTGTATGACATTGTAGGAGACTCGTTTAATATTAATTTTTTTCATCTCACTTTACCATGTTACTTGAATCAAAAGATCCCTCCATAAGAATTTTTATTAGTTTTGTAGTTTTTAATTAAAATTATTACTAATATCAACATGATTTTTATTGAAATATATTACTTTTAATTCAACTATTTCTTCTTTAATTAAAATTCAACAAAATAGACTTATACATACTCCTTATTAAAAATATTGACATAATTGTATTTTTGGCTTAAAAATATATTTACTTTACAATGAATCAGATATTTCTATGTTTTAGTTAAAAAATAGAATATTGAAACTTATAATTTTAAACCACGAATGTAAGTTTTCTAAAGTAAAATATTAATTAGAGTTATATTTTACTAGTGTTTTAAAAATCGATTTAAATTGATTAATTAAAATAATTGGATTAAGAATCAACTTCACCGATGCAAGCTTGTTACTGAATCTAATGAGTAGTAGCTTAGTTTGCTTTAACTTTATTAATAAAAAGATCAGTTTAAATTAAAAAAAAAAAGTCTTTATATTAAAAATGTTAGATTTAAATTTATGAAAAAGTTTGATATATTTAAAAAAATCAGCATATTTATTTATATAATATAATAAAAAAATTAATATATATATATATATATTATGTATATATATATATATTATTATTAAAAATATAAATAAATAAATTTATAAAATAAAACAAATGATTAATATTTAAAATATTTTTTTTATATACAAGTATCTTTTTTTTTATTATAGGTTTATAAACATATAATATATGCGTGAGTATATGTCAACACATGACCAGTGTTTTAAAACCCGGACCGACCCGGCCGGTTGGACCGGTTGGACTGAGAACCGGTGGTCCAGTCGGTCCGAATATGAAGTTGGATCGGTTATGCAGTCGACCCGTTTCAAATCGGATTAAACCGGTCAATTTTTCGGTTCAACCGGTGAACTGGTGGGTCAAACCGGTTCAACCACTTTTTTTTTTTTTAATTTTTTTAAGGGACCATAAATCACAAAAATAATAATGAAAATTGAATCTCTTAATGAAAAAGCAAGGAGTCTTATTAAATATAACAATGACTACTTGTTCTAATATATTTGTTTGCAATATATACAACTTAAATAACTTTTATAGTATATTATTAATTTTAAATTATATATTTAATAATGCAATATCTATGTAAATATTACATATATTATTTTGTGATATTAATTGCAAGCATATTATATATGTACATATTATTTATATTTTTAATTTGTATTAATATACC